TGAAGAGTTCTGTCGTATTTCGTGTTATTATAGCGTATTTACATTTACTAAAAGGGGAATCGTATTCCTTTAACAGATTCAGAATCACGGAGATAGAAAGTTTATGAGCGTGTAACTTCTAATACTTTGTGAAAACTCATAATCTGATATTCCCCATTCAAGGCACGGGCGTTGGACGTCCGTTGGAAGGTAAGTGAACGGTTAGATCACGATTAAAAGTCGGTTTCTTTTCAGAAGTAAAATGTTAAGGCGCGAACATTTTTTTCTACGTAATGACCCTTCAAAGGGAAAGCATATTTAAACTCTATTCTATCATAAGACAATCTTAATGAGAATATTAAAAGGAAAATGAGTGCATATACATTTTTTATAATATCCTTGTTAGAAGGTATTTCCCAATACGTTTATACAGACCATAAAGTAAGCTAAACACAAAAAGTTTTATTTTAACATACAAACTATAATTCTACCAAATAAAGGAAAAATGTTTGACTGACAATGAAAGACCAGTGGGCAGAAAAGGCAGATACACAGAGAGACAGAGAGAGACAAAAATGAAAGACCAATGAACAGAAAAAGTAGATACACAGAGTGAGACAGAGAGACAGACAAAAATTAAAGAAAATGGACAGAAAAAGTAGATACACAGAGAGAGAAAGAGAGACAGAGACAAAAATGTAAGACCAACGGACAGAAAAAGTAGACACAGAGAGACAGATAGAAAGACAGATAAAAATAAAAGACCAATGGGCAGATAGAAAAAAGTTATTTGAGACAAAGATGGAAGACAGAAAAAGTAGACACACAGAAAGACAGAAAGAGAGACAGAGACAAGATTTAGACCAGACAAAGAAGAACAGAAAAAGTAGACACACAGAAAGACAAAAAGAGAGACAGAGACAAAGATGGAAGACCAGTGGGCAGAAAAAGTAGACACACAGAAAGACAGAAAGAGAGATAGAGACAAAGATGGAAGACCAGTGGGCAGAAAAAGTAGAGATAGAGACAAAGATGGAAGACCAATGGACAGAAAAAGTAGACACACAGAAAAACAGAAAGAGAGATAGAGACAAAGATGGAAGACCAATGGACAGAAAAAGTAGACACAGAAAGACAGAAAGAGAGATAGAGACAAAGATGGAAGATCAATGGACAGAAAAAGTAGACAGACAGAAAGAGAGATAGAGAGAAAGATGGAAGACCAGTGGGCAGAAAAAGTAGACACACAGAAAGACAGACAAAAATGTAAAACCAGTGGACAGAAAAAGAAAAGACGGAGACGAAAATAGATGCGAATTAACGCAAAACCTTACAACCAGAGCCACGAAGAGGAGAACCGAGTGAAGAAGATTGGCCATACTGCTATAGAGATGATACTGATAAACGCATTGGAATCACACCGTATTTATAGGCCCGGGGTTCACTGTTGTTTACTATCTTGCATCATCAAGGACATCCGTTCAGCCCACGTCCAGTTTCCTGTTATGGGTCATGGACTGGAGATTAAATTTGGATAAAAAGATTGATGGATATAAAAAGTAATATTCTCATGCGGATGAATAGGAATAAATGGATTGATGAACATAACTATGAATAAATGGATAGATAAACATGAATATGAATAAATGGATAGATGAACATAAATATGAATAAATGGATAGATGAAAATAAATATGAATAAATGGATAGATGAACATAAATATGAATGTGTCTAGATGAACATACATATAAATGAATGGTTAGATGAACATAAGTATGAATAAATGGATAGATGAAAATGAATATGAATAAGTGGATAGATGAACATAAATATGAATAAATAGATAGATAAACATAAATATGAATAAATGGATATATGAACATAAATATTCATAAATGGATAGATGAACATAAACATGAATAAATAGATGTTAAATATGAATGAATAGATAGATGAACATAAAAATCAATATTCTCATGATGAACATAGATATGAATAAATAGGTATCAAATATAAATGAATAAATATATTAATATAAAAATCAATATTTATCATGCGAGTGAAAATCTAACAAGGAATATAAACAGCCGTAATTTTTGCATGTATTACCTGAATAAATCCAAGAGGATGTTTTTTTTTTTTTTTTTTTTTTTTTTTTTTTTTTTTTTTTTTTCATCTACAATGGAAAACATCTACAAAGGTTCATTGATTTCCTTGCCTGCTTTCGTTTTATTTTAAACGAATTATTCCTTAATTTAAGTATATATCTGTAAAAAAAAAAAAATCTGTCCAGGATTCTCACAAATAATTACCAGGTTTTCTATTCGCATTTGAACTGAATGCGAACTTCAGTTTGATAAAAAAAAAAAAAAAAAAAATTGACTTGATAGCAATATTATTTAGATCCTCATATTCCATCATGAACATTTTCCGATTTTTTTTTTCGTAAGGGTTTATAATGCATATATATGTATGTGTGTGTGTGTGTGTGTGTGTGTGTGTGTGTGTGTGTGTGTGTGTGTGTGTGTGTGTGTGTGTGTGTGTGTGTGTGTGTGTGTGTGTGTGTGTGTTTGTATGTAATTTTTCTATTTTTTACTTTTATTTGACTGGTCTAATGGCACAAGGGCACAACTATTATAGCCCTAGAATAAGATTTGTCAAAAGTATTGCTTCTTTTGCTAAAAATGTTCAATATTGTTTGACTGATTTAATGACACAAAGGCTTATCTATCAAAGATATCCATTGATCAAAGGACTACATGGGAGAAAACACAAAATCCTGCAGGATAATAAACAAGAGAATAAAACATTTTAATCACACCTTATCGACGGATTCGCGCCCCGTCCAATAGAAGGGGGAACTCTGAAGAAAAACGTAGATGAAAAGAGAACAGGAATTCTGGAACAGGTGATGGAAACGGAACGGTTGGTAGCGAAAGCAGTTGGCAGGGAACGTGGCTCTCAGTTTGACAATATCCTTCGATTCTTCACCTTCCCGTCTGATCGAAAATGCGGGGCCAGGTTGATGGGGACAGATTTTGAATAGATTTTATAGTTTATGATAGATTTATATTATATTTGTTACCGTTTGCTTCTAGATTACCACCTGTGTGCAAGGTGTGGCCGGGTTTACCATCATCCACTGGCGGCGCGGTATTTGAACGCGGGTCAGAACGCTACCTCTACACCACATGGCATTCAGCAGTGAGTAAAGCCGACGAGAAATTGAGAACTTAAAGATGAAGGCTGAGAAGCGAAGGAAGAAGATATATACATGAAGAAAGATGGTTTATAGGCGTAGGAAACGATGGGATAAGATGTGAAGTGAAGAAAACTGTTGATGAGAGGAAGAAATAAAAGAGTAATCGAAGAATACTCAGAAGCATTATTAATATTCTGGAATTCGTTTCTTCATTGATGGCGGGAATCCATTTCTATTTTCTTTTTTCTTACTAATGTCAAGCAGAGCACACTTTTTCCGCTGCCTTTTATTTACGCTACACAGTAAGTCTCTACACATCTGCAAAAGTTAGGAATAAGAATACTCTTCTATAAAACTGATGGTATATTTCGTTATCTTTCCTTACACGTTTTGTTATGTTTGTCTTGTTTTATCGTAAATATACGATATTGCAATTTAAGCTGACGTTAGGCGTTATTTGCTCAATAAAACTTTATTTTTGTCGAATAAAATATTGTCCATATTTACTCTCTTCAAATAAGCTTGATATAAATTAAATCACAAATCACATATTCAAAATTGTCTTCCATAAGTGTTCCCATATGACATCACCATTTCCGTCTGTAAAGGAAAATCCCATAAATATCACGTTACAACAAAAACATCGATTTTCGTCATATCTTGTAATCACTGGGACACTACCGTATGATGGTACGTTCTGTAGTACTGTATTGCGCAACAGGTGATGTGGGGTTGCTATGTGAACATAAATATGGAAGGTCACGGGAGGGAGCACATTATCAGCTGGTCCATAGTACAGGATGGTCACCTACACGCAAGCCGTTCTTCTCTTCGTGGCGCTGGCGGTGAGTTTTGCTTAGGCAGATAAACTGATTTAGAAATTAATGTTAATGGAGAGAAAACGTATCCGTTATATTTTCATATTTATTTTTATCAAATGTATCTCTTTGTAATAGGTGTATTTTCATATTTATTCTTATCAAATATATTTCTTTGTAATAGGTGTCCCCGAGCGCTCAGCTGTGCGCCCCGGACTGCACAGGTGTGGACCCCTTGACCAAAGTGAGAGACCCTAGCGACTGCACGAAGTACTATGTTTGCGTCGACGCTTCTGGAACAGGTATCCATCAGTTTAACTATTTGAAACCCATTCATTCAGAATACCGCCGTCTTATCCAAATGCCTCAGAGCAATACTAATAAGTTCAATTATTCGACAGGAGAGCTCGTGCCGTCGGTCGAGCCAGTGGATTGCCCCGACGACCATTACTTCAACGAACAGCACACGACCCCGCGCTGCGACCCCATCGACAGTGCCCCGAGCGGCTTCTGCTCTGACCTGTGCAACCCTTGCCTCGCCGACTGCACCCACCCGGGAGAAGTGACCCCCGACCCAAGCAACTGCTCCTCCTACTTCGTGTGCTTGGACAGTGGCCACACCCTGGCAGTCGAGTGCCCAGAGTCAGCTCCCTTCTTCGACTTCCTGACCGGGAACTGCCAGACTGACTCGACCCTCTGCTACCATTACTGCGACACGTGCGTGCCCCACTGCACACAGCAAAACGAACGCGTGGCAGACCCCTACGACTGCCATAAGTTTTATCTGTGTACCCCTCCCACCATGTCCAGTTTCCTGTGTCCCCATAGCCAGGTGTTCAACAGGGAGACGGGTGTGTGCGAGGATAATGCCGTGTGCATTACTGACTGTTAAAGGAGAATATTCGGTGAATATTCAGTAAAAAACATTTTTAAGGTCAATGCACTTTCTGCGTTCCACATAAATATGTATATGAAAAAATATATAAACAGATATACGTTATGAAATTTTGTTTCTCCTTTAAAATTATTCAAATGGAATACACAGAATTTGATGAATGATAAAATGTACATATATCTGTCATGCTGCAGTTCAGCGAAGAATTTGTAATAATATACTTACTAAACCGGAAGTTCTTAACCGGGGTTATCCATACCCTTTAGGGAATAGATGCCTCATATGGGTATAGCACTGTTTTTTAGACATGTTTTAAAACCAGATGTCAGTGCTACCCCATACTTTCGTGAACGAAACAAACAGAAACATCTAATGGGTTTTCTAAAATTGAATGATATGTCGCTCTTTATTGACGGTCGAGTATGGGACCGTACAGGACAATGTTTTGAGGGTCATCATGTACCCTGGTATCAAACACAAAGATCAACTACTAAAGTATATTCCGCAAGAGAATAAAGATTTTTTTAAGCAAATCTATTGAATGTATCAATTAGTTCAGTTGCAAATGAGTTACTGAGAGACAGAAGGCGGTGTACCTCTCTCCATTCATGACTCGTAAGACGTCAAGTGACATACAACAGTGACATTTATCAAAGAAGTTCTTTGCGGTTCTTATCATAAATATGAGTCAATAGTATTAATATTTGATCTTGGTCAGTGCTTGGTAATGTAAATGGATCATTTTTTACCCTACACAGAATGTAATATTACTTGTATCAATGCACGAATGTGAATAAGATTGCAAATACAGTCTATATCAGAAATCAACGAGACTTGATGGTTCTCCTGAGTGGCTCTGCTGATCATAAATGTACAAAGTGATATATTATTAGATCTTCTCTTGGACTGATAACTTAACAAAACCGGTTCTTGTAATGACTCGAGACTTTTATGTTATTAAGGAAACGGATAAAAAGATGCGATCACATTGTTATAACGTTCTCAGCGTCCGAAGCCGTAATGCAATTGGCAACTGGTGTAAGTGTGTATGTGAAGCTGCAGGTGTGTGCCTTGGTGTGTGTGTGGTGTGTGTGTGTGTGTGTGTGTGTGTGTGTGTGTGTGTGTGTGTGTGTGTGTGTGGTGTGTGTGTGTGGTGTGTGTGTGTGTGTGTGGGTGGTTGTAGGTGGTGTGTGTGTGTTGAGTGCGGAGGCGTAGGTGAGGGGAATGAGTGGGTACATTTTGGAAGTGTGTGCGTGTAGGTGTAGGGGACTAGATATGTATGTAGGTGATGGTAAGTTTACATGTAAATAAGGTGTGTTTTTTGTCTGTCTGTCTCTCTACTGTCTGTGTCTGCGTCTCTGTAAAACTCTACACCAGCCTCGACAACTCTGAAAATGCAGTCTGACTCGAGCAATGCTGAGAGTCGGATCCCGTGGAAGGGCTGATCTGGCGTGTCCGGGTGAGGTCCTTTTCTGCATTTCACTTTGAACTTTCTTTTCTTTGTTTCCTTGTTGAGAGGAACAGCCAAACCGAAAAGGGCCGTTATGCTCAGTGAGGCAGAACTCCTGGGGTCAAGTACACACATATACAAATATATACATATATATATATATATATATATATATATATATATATATATATATATATATATATGTGTGTGTGTGTGTGTGTGTGTGTGTGTGTGTGTGTGTGTGTGTGTGTGTGTGTGTGTGTGTGTGTGTGTGTGTGTGTGTATGTATGTATGTATAACAAACACACTCACACACAGCAGGCGGAGAGAAACTGATAGAGAGTGCGAGCGAGCTAGATAGAGAGAGAGAGAGAGAGACAGACAGACAGACAGACAGACAGACAGACAGACAGACAGACAGACAGATAGAGACGGACACGATTATCTCCCATCCTATCTGAAAAGCAAAACAAAAACGACCAAGTATATATTTGCCGAAATTTGCTGCCGCTGGACTCTGTCATTGGCGAACGACCTATATTCAGCTTCTGTATGATATAAAACAGAATTTCCGTCACAAAAAAAGAAACAAACAAAAAAAAAAACGTAGTGAGGAAGAGAAACCAAAGCGTAAGCAAATGAAGTACATATTCATAAATGACAGGAATGCAACTTTTATCTCTCTGCCTGTCTATCTGTCTATGTGTATGCATGTGTTTGCTTGTTTGTTTGTGTGTGTGTGTCCGTGTGTGTGTGCGTGTAATCTCTTCTCAATGTGTTTTATGATTTATAGCAAATATATATTTTACTTTTCCGAAAAGGAAAAAGGAAACGTATCATATCACTATAACTTCTCTTGTCATGCGAATAGCCAATGGAGGAGGTGCTTCTCTCGCTAACAGAAATATTTTAAAATGTCGATATCAAAATATTGTCATGTGCAGAAGATATTGTTGTATTGTGCAGAATGCCATGAAAATATTATTTGCATGTGTAAAAATTCAGGAAAATGGCTGTCATGCACAGAAAGCGATGGAAATATTATTTTATATACAAGAAGCTATGGACATATTGTTGCTATGGGTGGGGCTGTTACGTATAGATATTGACTTTATGTGTATGACATTTTTTAGCTTTCTTTACACGAAAACAATA